ATAATTTGTGGTTTCTTTTGCGATGAACAATCACTTCAGCGCCATCTACGCCTGGAGGTGACATACGCAATAAACACTTGGTATCTATGCAGTTTTTGACAGAACTAGCTTCTGCTAAATATGAAGTTGATTTAAGAATTTATACGTAAAAATTCCAGAGCGCCCCAGAGCGATGTGTAGCCAAAGATCAATTTCCCGTTATGGGAGTGCCACAAAGGGTACAAGCCGTGATGTATGTTAAAACTTCCGGTTAGATCCTAGCGAATCTCTACATTGATATTAGCTAATGAAGAAAGGCGAACTCTTTAGAAAAATGGTCGGAGACTGCGGATAATTTCTTTTCTAGGAATTGAAAAAAGGATTGCTGAAACTCAAGGATTCATTAAGCGCGCTCAAGCACTGATCACGGCAGAGGGTGACAATGCAAGTTTACTGGTTCACAAATATAACTTTGGAAGATCTCGCAACAAAAAAGGAGTTTTAGGCTTACCCGTTCATTTGCTTGGGATCAAACATTGGATTGGTAGGGTGTGAACCATTGGCCGTTGGATACGGATTTGCGTTGAAACCCTACAACAATGGATTGCGTATTTGAAAAGTTTACTTGAACAGTTGCTTACAAACCTGCTGATACGCTTCAGAGGGAAAAGCAAAACCTCCTTGAGGGAAGGCAGGTGATTGTGCATTGAACGGCCCAGGAGCAGGCACGGGAAAACTTGCCGACATACTTTGCACGTGATGACGTTCAGCTGACAACAGAAGCAAATAATAAACAAAGCATTTCACTCTGGAAAAGTTTCTCTTCAGATGTGTGCATAGTTCGGGATATAGAGCACTGTGTAGAGATAGTTCACTATCACTAGATTACAGTGAGATTCACTAAGATTGGTACTATATTGGGCCAAACAAGAAGAGATTAAGAACTGTCAAGTGAGCCGTAAACATTGATGCATGTACTCATAATTGTCTTGAAGTATCAGCGTTCTCAGGCATCAAGAAGATAGGTAACCAACAGAAATTAACAAATGAAGCGGCCGAACTCGAAGGGCTCATAATCAAAGTTCTCAAAGGAATTGCTTCGTCCCAGCGCACGGATTAGTTTCAAATTTATTCAAAGACCTTATGTTTCTCTCACTGTTTTACTATCCTGGTCAAAACAAGCATGCAGGTAATTCACGATTACCAAATAAAAATTATAGCAACTAGGAATCAAACAGTGTACTGACTATGTCTTGCTAATTGTAGCGCCATGTAGAAAAAAATTAAAGAGAAAACTGAGCACAATAACCAGAGTCGTCAAAGGGATGACTGGAATAATTGCACAAAATTGATAATTTACGAAACCATTCGTATACAGTATTGCAAGTAATGAAACATCAGACACGCGCTACCAGGTTTCGGTCATGATGAATATAAGAGAGATTTCAAATAAATCATTCCAAATGTGCTGTATATATAGTGTTTTTGATAATGTTCAAGAAAGAAACGATGAAAAATATGTTTACAGAGATCCACATAGATTATGGCAAAAGTGATACGGTATTACAAAAATGAACGAGGTGAAGAGAAGACCAGACCATAAAACGTGAGACTGTAAGTGAACTCCTGCAAGGAATAGATTGAAATAGGAAGCAACAGCTTACTACAGGACCACAGAAGCGGCGATTAATGAGTTTTTGCACACTAAAATTGGATTGTTCTCCTATGCTGCCGGCCTTGGGATATTTGTCTTAAAAAACGTAGAGCTAGACAAACGAACTGGGAGAAGTGCAGGACGAAGTTCACAATATAACTTACACTGTGACTCATGGATTGTGGGTCTAAGTTTCACGCAGATTACAAAAACGACTCATTCGCTGATAAGGCGAAAGTTACACGTGACGTCAGGGTGTTCTTTCCTAGTGATGTAAGCAAAAAAGAACTGCTGAAACAAACGCAGTATTAAGACGCAGATCTGGTCAAAGTCAACAGCTAGGAGTCGAAAAATATTTCAGGCAAGTAGTACCGTTTTAAAATCGATTCCTTACTTCTGAACCAGCAAAAGTGTACTCTTTAACAATTCTATTACGACAATCTTCTAAAATTATCGGTGAGGAATGCATCAACAGTAAAGACCATTTAGCTTATGGCTGATTTTAACAGTTACACACTGGATCTTTTGGTTCTTGGTGTGGTGGGAAGTAAAGGAAAGTTGATATATAGTTATGGAGGAGAAACAAGCATAAAAAAATAAAACGGACATGTCAACGCAACTAAACAGTCCATACCATAAAAAAGTAACCGGTATCAAAAATCAGGCACGCTCATCAGTTAATAAGATCTTAGCTTTCTTGAAAATGCGAGAGTTTGTCCATTACACGACTATAGATCGAGAGTTAGGCTAAAGCAATAGCAGGTTAGAAGCGCGATCCTGTTTTTGTTTGCACTTCTACGGCGGGGAAAAAACCTCACAACTTCCAACAAATGAAGTCAGTGCAGGGTACTCACACGATTGCGAATACACTCGCAAATCAATAGAGAAGACCGTTGAAGCTTTTTATGCACTTCAAATTGTCTGCAAAACAATAACGTCGAACATTATTCACGTAATAATATCGTATATGTAGATTAGAAACAAAAGTTCTATTATCGGATTCAAATAGCAAACGTGAATGTATGAGAGCAACTGAAAGAATAAAAACAAGGTTCTACAAATTTCTGAAATTTGTCTTCGCCTTAGATCATATCTTTGAAAAGACCAAACTGATAAAATAGAGGTTTGTTCTTGTTTTGTGTGAAGATACACATAAAGATAAGCGAAAGAGTGCAACAGCTAGATGAACTTTCACACTAGTCATATCGCGATAAAAGCCACAACAATAGCTTGTACTACGGAAAATGGAGTGTGAATCTGGACAATGAGTAAAGGCTTGCACTAACAGACGTTTGAATGAGATTTGGCGTGAAAACTGTTTTCAAACTGCTGGAAAACAAGCGAAAATCAGAAACTTCCTGGGTAGAAAGGAAAAAA